GCTCTGACAAGGAAATATGGAATTCAACTGCATCAACACAGCCATTTTCGGAGACTGTCCTCGTTATTCAGAATTTACATTAAGATCCTTCTGAAGAATACAAACGTCAAGTTGTGTATACAATTGGGCAATTAAACACGTCATCAGCAAATAATGCACTGGGAGTTAACATCATGAGAGATATCATTAATGAAGATTTTAAATAGTAGGGGCCCCACAACATAACCCTGAGGAAAACTTGATTTCACCACAGACTACTCTAAGGCTTGTCCCAGAAAAGTTACTCTTCGTAGACGGCCAACAAGGGAATCTTTTATCCAGCTCCAGAAAACAACTTTGATGTTGCTCTCAGAAGCAAGCTTATGGAGTAGTAAGTAATGCGGCACGGTCAAAGGCTTTGTTCATGTCTAAAAACGCAGATCAATTCTAGGGTAGTATACAAGTCTGCCGCCCACGTACGGTAAACACTAGTTAGTTGACTTACACAAAACCTACTAGGCATAAAGCAATGTTAATTGGCAGAAATTAAAAAATAATCACCCAGGTGCCCAGGAATATCATCCAGGATGATTCTTCCATGAGTTTACACACAGTAGACGTTAAGGCAGCAGACTGGCAATTAAAATGATCTCCTGCTTTTAAGATAGGAGTTATATTGACACTTTTCCAGGAGAGGGAAAGGCGACCGGATCTGATGGACGTGGCAATGTTTCTGCTCAGGACTGGAGAAATCGAATTTACGGTATTACATAGGAATCTTACACCAACACCATCAGGCCCAGTTGCCTACCTAACTCGCAGGTATGAGATGATACGATGGAAACTACGTGGAATAAATTAAATAGAAGTCGATCCCTATGGAAAGTTGCTTGCTTTTGCATGGAGGGATCGGGGCCTGCGTAGCCAGGCGACCTCTGTTGACATATATGCCTAACAAACGGGGCTAAGACTGGAAACTATCCACTAGGCCAGTGCCGCTGTTTGCTGAAATGTAATGTTTTTCGGTTGTTTTCTGCTGTCAGTTTCTATTCTTTATATAAAATGCGAACTGTGTACTGCCGCAGATTTAGGAGTCGGCAAAATAAAAACGTTTGTTATTCGGTACTAGATTCTCTAGATTCATTGTTTCTCGTCAGCAACCACATGTGATTTTGGCCCTGGCATCAAAAGATTTTAGTGTCTATTATTTTTGAACTGAACAAAAATGACGAAACTTGACAGATCATACAATTCCCAAAATCGAACGTTACGTTCCGGCATCGCAGTCATCTGAACACGAAGAATCTGGAGCCCAAATGCTCGTTGGCACTACGCCAGCCTCGCCGGGCACCCTAAGTCAATAGTCAATGAAAGTAAAAACATGCCCAACGGGCACCGACAAGTTTAAGTCCGAACTGTGCGTGTCCATCCGGTTGCAATCTGCGTCTTGCAACAAGACTTCACCTCAGCCGACGTAACAACCCTGTGGGCTGCAGTCAACGGTCAAACATCACACCAGCACATTATCACAAGTGACGGAGCCTAATAAGTATTATGCATGTGAAAAGGTCCACATTGTGTATTATTTTCTATGATAAAAAATACTGAATAATGAGTAAAACCAATGTAGCAAATCGGAAAACCCATAACAAATAACAAATTGTCAAAAGTTATGGGCCCAAAAAGTACAGTTGTATTGATATTCCTACGGTTGTGTGCCTTGATGTGTAAAGCTTCAAAGCTTTATTAGAAAAACCCCATCTTTTTTTATTGTGAGGAAGGCTTTATACGTCAGGTCGTGTTAGGTTCTGTTTATCAAGTTAACTTAATCCTTTTTTCCCTTAAAGTCTTTACACTTGTGTATATTCTTCAACGTGCTGATATCGTCTCGGTGTATAGATAAAACAAGACGATTTGTATCTATCGTGTTCACAAAACAATTTCTTTCTGCACTCGTCGAAGGTTCTTCTTCATATATCGTGGGGTATAAAGGTCTACATTGTTTGCACCTATATTTATAAAGTCCGTGTTCACAAGTCACCGAGCGTATGTGACAATCTAAACAACGCAAGCAACAAACAGTTAATTCACCTGTCTTTTTTAAGTTTAATCTCAGCCAAAGGTTTGTCTTTGCAGCACTCTCTGCACGTTTTGCTCTGGAAATTAAAGCACGTTTTGTGCTTTGATTTCCATAATTAGATAGTATCGTATAGTTTATTTTCACATCAACCTTGGCTCATATAAAACGCAAAGATGGCACCGATGGTCCAACCCGTTCCTCTCTGATTAAACTCATCAATTTTGTGCAACAGGTATTCTCGTTCTCACAACGTTTGTTTTGCGCCAAGAGCAGTTAGCGCAACAGTATTTTTACTGTGAAATATAAGTGTTTGCGTAACGGTGTCTTCTTTATCTGGTTCTTCTTTGATAAACTGGACTTTTTACGTTGTTTGTGGTTTGATACTGTCCAGTTCCCTCAGCGAAGACGTGACTTTCTCTTCTGTATCTCTTGCGTGAAAATTGAAAATCGCACTGGGTCTGTGTTAACTAGTTGAGGGAGTTATTCCTCGTGTACTGTCTCTCTATTTATGAGTTTATTTTATCATTTTTTTACCAACTACGGTCCCCCGACTTAACCGCTCTGATATCCCGAGTTTGGACCCCCCGACCTTTGACGTCGCCAAGAGACCAACCGCATCTACCGGACCG